ACCCCCTTCTCCCGAATAGAGCTCATGGTGATTCCAGCTGTATTTTGTTGAACTTCCAGTCTAGATGCACCGATAATGACCGTGCGTTAGATCCAGCCGCTTAGCCCAGGCGGCCCCAAGGTACTTACCCCCTTCTCCCGAATAGAGCTCATGGTGAGTACAGCTGTATTTTGTTGAACTTTCAGTCTAGATGCACCGATCATGACCGTGCGGTCTCTTCGGATGAAGACAGTTGTACGCCACCGGAAGCCTTTTTCAGCCAAATAGGTTCTCTTCGGGGGTGATTTACCTACCTTTTTTTCTCCAAACAGGGTCCTACATGAGGCCCTAAGGGCCCCCCTTTCTTTTTCAAAAAGAGAAAAAAAAAAAAAAAGCAAAAAAAGCTGTTACGGTCATCAGTTGTGGTTGAGCTCGTTCAAAGATGAGACAAGAAGACGTTCAACGACGGCAAAGGGAGGGGAGACGTTGAACGAAGATCACGGGCAGAGTCATGGGGTATAGATGTCTAGTACGCCATCAGTCAGCCATAACTGATGATGGGAAGACATTACACAATGACAGAGCAGAAGGGGGAGGAGCATGAGGAGGAGGAGAAGAAGAGAAGAAGAAGCCGAGGAAGAAGTCGAGAAAAAAGGAGGACGACGACGACGACGACGACGACGACGACGAAGAAGAAGAAGAAGAAGAAAGAAGAAGAAGAAGGAGAATGAAGAAGAAGAAGAAGAAGAAGAAGAAGAAGAAGAAGAAAAGGAAGAAGAAGAAGAAGAAGGAGAAGAAGAAAAGGAAGAAGGAGAAGAAGAAGAAGAAGAAGGAGAAGAAGAAGAAGAGAGAAGAAGAAGAAGAAGAAGAAGAAGAAGAAGAAGGGAAGAAAGAGGAGAAATACAAGCTGCTCACCTGAAGGCCGTTGCCCTATTTCTTAACAATAATTCATAACGAAGAAGAAGAAGAAGAAGAAGGGAAGAAAGAGGAGAAATACAAGTTGCTCACCTGAAGGCCGTTGCCCTATTTTTTAACAATAATTCATAAATAGATCAACAATAGAAGATGAACTCAGCTGAGTCAGCTCATGTGGCTGAAAGGTTCATCGTCTATGAAAGATCTGTTGGTAAACAGACGCGGGTTCGATTCCGTTCGCTAAGGTGGATGAATTCAGAATTGCTGATTTCAGGGTCATTCCATTCCTTCAGGTGAGCGGCGAGCGGCGAGCGGCATGTAATCCGATGAATGGAAAGTATGGAACGACTGTGAAATTATGAATTAACTAGGGGCGGTCAGTTGGATAAACTAGGATAATGATAGCTCTGTCTGTCTTTTTTGTGACTCACAGGGCGATGACGATACTCAAGACGGTCTACTGCAGAAGAAGAAGAAAAAAAAAAAAAAAAAAAAAAAAATCGAAAAAAAAAAAAAAGGAAAAAGAGAAG